AGCTGTATATATAAGCCCAGGACAATTTAAGCAGCAGTTTACAGTATTACAGTTTACAGTGCATATTTCTCACAGATAAGCTTACCATTTTTTGGCATTTGTTTTATACCAGTTCCAATTCACCATCTTACGTAGCTAGACAGGGCACAGACTAATGTATTTGTAAGCTGTTGTTGTTGTTGTTGTTTGGGAAATAGGCCTTATCTGTGTAAATGAAGTTGTTAAATGTACCATAATTGCAAATAAGTTATAGTTGACACATGCATACAATCACAAATATTAATTGTCCACCTTCTAGGATGGAGAGTTTAACTGGGATCAAGAAACTCAAGGTTAGTAACTTTGGTAATTTTGATCTATAAATATGTAATGTGGTTCAATTTTTGACTCTGCTTTTAATTTTTCAAACCTGAGTCTTATTATCACTTTTTCAGGGGTTCTTAAAATGAATAACATGCACAGCACCTTCCCTCCCTTAATCCCTAAACCTACCCTACTCCCCTCAGTCCTTAACCCTACCCTACCCTACCTCAAATCCCCCCATGGTCAATGCTTACCATGCTACTCCAACCCATACTACCACAAGGATTTTTTATTAACGGCGTGGCCATGGGCCGAGCACAGTTCATGTTGTACCCGGGGTTTATTTTTTATTTCTTTATTTTTTTTAGTTTTGTCGCTGACCAGACCCAAACTTGCTCTTGGCCAAATTTTAAATCACACAACCTGTGATGTTTATTCCCCAAGACCTGTTGAAACATTAATACACAGACAATGTTACAGATATTGTTTTCTTTACTGTGTGTAAAATATATTTTCTTTTGGTTTTATCAAAGCGTTGGATCCGAAGGGAATAATAAATAGGCTAAAAAAAGGTATTACGTCAGCCATGGAAGGCGCTGATGTTGCAGCTTTCACTTTCACTACGTGACAAATAAGATCGTGTTTACTTTGCACGTTGATTTCACCAGAAGCAATGGTCAATAAATTTATTTACAATTTTGC